TCAAGTAAGAACTTTCAACGTGCCAATTTGATACCGAGAAGTTTGTTCGTTGCACAAATATTCGAAACTGCTTGGTTTGGGAGTTTGACATCTCCATGATAGCACATAGATAAAAACTTGCGAGGGAAAGATACTTAGTTGTGGCCTTTCAAAAAGGTATATCAGTAGAGTGCTTACGCTAATTTCAATCTGCCCTTCATATCTGTTTAACGATTCTTTGAACGAAGTTGTAATAGTTTTTTTCCGCCAAAAATAGATTACGCGCCATCAAATTCGCAAATACTTCAATTCACCCTAAGTAAGCGATATAAAGCTAATTTGGCTCGTTCGTTGAAACATCGTACCATCAAGATGCTTGAGTGTCAGTGCATCAAATAGCAGGTTATGCGCCTCAGCCTTTGCAAAAGAAATTGCTATAACTTCCTTCAAAGAATCGTTTCGCACATGTAAAAAAATAGATTTGAAATCAGCGTTTTGAGCTGCGTTTAGTAGTAAATTTTAAAAGGCCACCGTCAGTGTATATCCCTCTCTGGTTAGAACGCTGGTCATCTTTTGACAAGACATAATTGTAAGAAAGCTTAAGCAATTTTAATTGCGAATGTTTTCGCCCTTTCAAAACAATCTTTACAAAAGAACAAGCCTTGGTATGAAATAATAAAAAAATTCACTGAATTTGATGTATATACACCATTGTTCAAGCGAAAAGTTGTTTAACAAAAAAAACTATGATAGCTCAAAAAGTTCCATAGGGAAGGATAGTTGGTTGAAGTGACGTTAAAATGAGGTAAATACTGTCAAATAAAACTTGAAACGCTGATTCCAAATCTGCCTTTCTTAACTGTAAAACGTTCTTTTAAGTTACAAATATTTTAATTTATCAAAAATGGCTTGCAGGATCTTAGTTAAAATGCTCAAAGGATCAAAGCCTTGAAGTAAAACAGTAGGGCAAATGCTGTTAACGAAAACATGCCTGCACAATAGAACAACCCTTTGCTTGATTTTTTATGCCGTGTTTGCTTGTAGAGCAATTATTGACGAGACGCGCAAGCTGATCTTATGACTTCTTCGAGAAAAACGCCTCAAAGATTCGAAAGGTAGGTTTAGGATTAGCGTTTGGAACTAAATCTAACAGTATGCATCGCTTCTTGAACTGCCACTTCGACCAATATCCTTCCTTCGTAAGTTGAAATTTCGACAAAAGAAGATAGGAAGCAAGAAAGCGTGCAGGAAATCATCATGCAGTTATGCAAGTACTGTTAGCCAAGTGAAATTGAACATCATTCCAAATAAACCTGATGAGGTGCTTTTTACGGCGGTTCAGCCTTTAAGAAGAGCTGACGAAATGTGTATATATTACAGGCCTGAGCTATGTAATGCTTCCCTTGTCAGTATTATCAAGAAATGCACGAAATTTCTGCATTGCTCAGCGTCATAGACTTTTAATAACAAACACCCACTTTTCTTCTGCCCACATTTCCCTATTCACTTATCGCGTTCTTGATTTGACTTAGGTGCCAGAAAACATGCGCAAACAGAATATCATATTCAAGACATCCATCAAACAAATATACACACAGGTTTTAAGCTTTATAGCGAGGAAATTTACCCGTACATCAATTTTTTAAATATCAGATCAACCTGCTGTTCAAGTTCAACTCTTATTCATAAGGCTTTGGAAAAACTGATATGATCACAAATGTCTTTGAAAAATGGCCTCAGCCGATGTAATCCAAGCGGCGTAAAATGCCAAAAGCCGTTCATCAAAGCTACGTTGGTGTCGTCATCGTAAAAGCGGAATGTACCGTTTGATGTGAACCGAGGTAAGTAGTCAATAAGAATGCATTTATGGCATGAGGCCACAGCTTGAGCCACTCTCCGACGAGCAATCTGTGTTCCTGTTGTGTTGAGTAATTTAGCCTGAAATAAGAATGAGGATTTAAAATACTTTACCGAATTCTACTAAATTGCAAGCCTTAAGAATCTACAGAATTTAATGCTATTTTCGAATAACTCATATTAAATTTTTGGCGTATTTTAATGCTAATAACTGGTTTTGAAGAAAAATTTCTGACGATATGCCGATTTGAACAACGGTTTCCTCTTCCCTAAATCACGGTAAATGCCCTACAGATAATGCTTACACAAACCAAATATATCTCCTGAAAGCTAATCTCTTCAGGAATTGAGACAAGTTTAACTTTTTGAAAGGCTTCTCTTAAGGTTTTCACTCTACCGTAGCATTTTTTTTCAAAATTGTAAGCATGATTTGGTTAGCATTCTGGTAAAGTTGCACCAACCGGATGTACAGAGGCGTTCTTGACAAGCATCTCAGTATGAAATACTTGAAAAGCATTATCAGGCCTTGGAAGGGCATTGAGCACAAACACATGATCGACGGTCACTTCAGAAAGCCACTTCAACATTCTTGACGCTTTCTCTACGATAGGTTCAACCTTGGAAGTAGAGTTCAATTCTGGGAAATTAGCCATATCTGTATACCTAGAAATTTATTTGTGACCTTAAGGCTTATGTCCATTATTTGCAGAGAAACGATTTGTACCCACCTGGCCAGTATAAATAGAATTTCTGGTTGATATTCCTCTACCGCTGCAACGTATTGTTCCTGAGCAGTCCGACAATGCTCGAACTGCAGAGTTTTTGCGAGGACTTCGCATGCTAAACAC